AACATTCAATTTATAGAACTGTGAGAAAAACCAACTTAACAGAAGAAACAATTTGTAAACAGGAAAAACAATTTGTAAACAAATAAAATCTTTAACTGTTATTTCAAGAGTCACATATTTCCATGAGGTAGGTGTCTAAGTTGTTCTGGTCACTCTTCATGCAGCTCCATCACATCTGTTGCGGGGCCATCAGGAGGATGCCGCTTGTGGTCCTGGGCAGGACTGGACACACCTGGCAGGTACCAAATGAGTTTTGGTATCTGTGGAAACATAGGCATAATTCCCATCCCTAGGTAATGAGACCTCATGGGCCCCCCATGCAGGGATGTGAAGGTCTGTCACCATTACCTTGGGCTTGGGCAGCTGAACATCACAGGATGATTATAATGATAAGAAGTGATTTAAAATGACTGAGTTCTGGGACTTTCCTAATACTGTTAAATGACTTAGTGAATAGATAGCTTTAGCTACCCTGCTCTGTGGGGATTCACCACACATTTGGCCTTCTTGTTTTTTAATTATATGTTTTAAAGTGCTATGTGCACATTTTATGATGTCTTGTCTTGTTGTTAATTGGGGAATATTAGTTTTGTGTGATACACCTTAGAGTTGTAGGAAATGTTTTTTTGGGGGGGAATGTATGTAGAGCTACTGTTTGTTTTGATGATGTGAGGGATGCCCAAAGCTGCAAAATCTGATTGCTAATGTGTGATAGCATCTCGACTTTTTGTGTGTGTGTGTATATTGTAGCTCGTATTGTTGATGAAAAAGTATTAATGGATAAATGTATACATTTTAGATGTTTTAATTTAGGGATGTGTGTGATACTGGTTTGTTATATTTGTAAAGCTCACAGCTTACAGTGGTTTATTCTTATTTGCAATGGTGCAGTGTGGCCTTGGCAGTTAGTATAGGTGTTAACTATATTAGGAGTTTTTGTGTTTGATAATTGAAATTGTTGTAAGGTATGAATACTTTGATGGAAAAAAATTGTATTATGCTTTTGCTTGTGCATAATATTTGCAAATATGCAAATATGCATAACAGCATATTTGGCTGTGGTACCGTCTAAGCAGGGCTAGCTAGCATATTTGCTCTAACATTGACCTCTGTGATGAAATTTGGTAAATTTGTATGACTCTTGATGTGTAAGATATATAATAATGGTAGGTTTTCACTTGGATGTTATGGCATAGAATTTTTAATAAGTTAAATACTTGTAGCTTGTTCATTTTTCTCAATAGTGCTTGGTTTAATCCTTGTGTGATGTTAGCTATATGTGCAGAATTAGTTACAATATTTAGAGGAATGTGGGGAAAATGTTGGAAAGCTATAGCTACAGTACATAGTTCTACTAACTGAGGTGATCTATTCTTATAACCAGCTAATGTTTGCTACTCACTTTTGTCTTTCTATGTTGCAATGGTTTTCCCCATTTTTCTAGAGACATCAGTAAATACAATAACACCTTTTAAGAGTGCTTGGGTATTTGGAGGTTTAAGAGACAGTGTAGTTTCTCCTCTTAATTTTATTAATATATGGCTTGGTAAATGACAAGTGATTTGTCTTGTGAAGTTTTGCAAGGCACTTTACATGGCTGTACTGTTGGCAAAACACTATTCAAACTGTTCTTGTGTTACAGGTATAATGATTTTTGAAGGATCTCTAGCATTCAATTGAAAACACCTGTGACAGCATTTGATAACTAATTGTGCAATTAGTTCAAAGGCAGTGGGTGCTGTCTTTTTTGTTTGATGAGGTAAAAATATGTACTCTAGAATGTGTAAATGATCAGGTCAGTGAGTATCCTACTGACTAATAATACCAGTAGAGTGAAGATTTACAATGAGAATAATTACAGTGATAAACACCTCTGGGCATATCTGGTGGACATGTTTGTTTGTGATAGCTTTTTTTACTGTTTTGAGAGCGGCTTTTGCCTCTGGGGTTAATTTTCTGGGGGGAGTTAAATCAGGATCACCTTTTAGGTCATGTAAGAGTGATAATTGTGAGTTCACTAATTTGAAGTAATGTCTGACCTAGTTGATGGGTATCCAAAGGTTTTTGTGCACTGTTTAGAGTCAGAATTTTGAAAATTTAATTGTTTGTGGATGTATAGTTTGATTCATTATTTTGAGTCCCAAATATTTCCAGGGTGCTTGCTGCTGCACCTTCTCTGGTGCTACCTGTAGCCCAAATGTTTTTAATGCTTCCAACAGGCTTGTCTGAATCTGTGAGAGTTCTTTTTTGGTTTGGGTTGCAAATTTTGCCACCATGCAAAATTGTAGTGATAACAGTACACCCCTGGAAATTGCTCTCTCACTGATTAGAGTGCCTGTGCAATGTACCACTGACAAATTGTGGGGCTGTTTTTCATCCTCTACGGCATAACGTGCTATTGATAACCTTGCACTGGTGCCACATTATTAACAGAAGGCACTATAAAAATAAACTTTGGGGTATTATGTGGGTGTAATGGAATAGTGGAAAAACAGTCTTTCAAGTCCACAATCAGAATGTCCCAGGGGGCAGGTGTCGTTGTAGGAGATGGCATACCAATTTGCAAAGTGCCCATGCTCTCCATCACAGAATTGATTTTTCTTTGGTCATGGAGCAACCTTCATTTACTAGATTTCTTTTTTATAACAAATATTGGGGTGTTCTAAGTGCTTCTAAATGGCTCTATGTGTCCTTGAGCTAGCTGCTCTTGTACTAATGATTTTAGGGCATCTAGTTTCTCTTTCCTAAGGCACTACTGTGATATCCATACAGGCTGAGTAGTGAGCTATTTCAGAGCTGATGTGGGACATCTTACTCCCTTTAATACAGTGGCCCCTATTAAAAATCCATTCCCACCCATACTCCCCATGCAGACAAAACATCTCTCCCCCACAGGTTCAGTGGTGCAGCAGTGACCTATGGCCAAATTGTAGTTATTTTTCCCTTAGGATTCTTAATTAGTATAGGACTGCTGTTCAAGCAGCTCTGTGTGGTCCCTCTGAGGCCAGCAACGGTAGATCCTGTAGGTGTGGTAGACCACGATGAAGGACATGTGTTGGCAGAGATCATGGTGATGAATCATGTCACCGACCTTTATCTGTGAAGGCCTCACCTTAGGCATTATAACAGTACAAACCATATTAGGTCTTTGATTACCTACGACCTGAGTCCAGTACACTTGGGGCTCTCCTGTTGATTCGAAGCTTTGGTCTCCTCTCTCCCTAGAATCTGCTTTAGGGACAGAAATCATAAAAGGAATAAGTTGTGCAATTTGGGTCTTAGCAGGTATAGTGACAGGAGTAGGGATTGACACTATGGCTTGTATTTGTCCTGTAAAATTTGCATCTATAACACTGGGGTGCATAACAATACCTTGCAGCGTGGCACGGGATCTTCCTAGAAGCAGTGTACTCAGTCCTTTCCCTATGGGCCCCTGGGCCTTGAGAGGGACTTTATGTACCTGTAATGAGTTTATGGTTATTGCGATTGAGGTAGAAACATCTACACCAGGTGATCTTCTTGTCCTTGCTATGAATTGGTCATAAAAGCCTGCACCGGAGAGTGGGAAAATACTTGTTTTGTCATGCATTTCCCCTTCACACTGGGCTTCCTGTTTCCCTGGTCTTTGAGAAACTGGACTTACATACTATGGCTGTATGTCCAAATCTCTCACATCAGTTGCAGTTTGTATTCATACCCCTCCATCCTTGAAATGTCCCCGGTGGGACAGATCTGTGGGGATGGTTTACCTTCATGTGGCCTTGTTGTCTACATTTGTAGCAACGGGGTGTTAATTTAACAGCATCTGTAACAGTATTACCTAATATATCTATGTTAAGTGATCTAGTCCTAACCTCAGCACATGCATTTAAAATATCTTCTAGGGATGGATTCTCTTTAGGTAATGCATCTATAATCTTTCTATAGTCTTTGTTTGCATTATCTTGTGCCAGCTGTGGCATTGACTCTTTGCTTCACTGTTTGTGATCTGCTTTTCTATAGCATCTTGCAAATGTTCTATGAATTGCATATATAATTCACTGGGGTTTTGTCTTAGCATTCTTACTTGAATATCTTTGGGTTGTCACAGACAGGTTTGTAATTTTTGTTAGAGCCCACATTGCTAAGTCCTTTGCTTGGGCTAGGATTGAGAAATTCAGGCAGGCTTGAGTTTTTGGATCTTCTGTGAGGGGGCAGTCTTATGAGTTCAGAGCTCCTTGCCCCAAAACATGGGTCTTGCTGCAAAGCTTTTGAATTTTGTAGTCTCTGGTCTTTTGTATAAGACCTCTAGGCTGATTCAAACATTATATACTGCACTGGAGTACAAAGTAACTTTATAATTTGCTTCAAGTCATAGGGGGTTAATTCACTAAGAATTATAAATCGACTTATATTTGCAACAGTAGGTGACCCTAGCCTGTGTTTAGTAGCCAGCTGGTAAAAGGCTTTGCTAATTAAAGGGTATGTATTTGTCTGGTGTAGTGCCATTACCTTGCAGAACTGGGAAGCTACAATTGCTTCTCCCTCCTGCTGCCAGTCCTTTGATGATAGTGAACACATGGGTACAGAAATTAGTTTATCCCCCTCTATATACTAACATTCAATCCCTTTTTGTATTGCCACTATCTAGAAGATTACTGGGTCTTGAGTGGGGATGGTTGCCACTCGGAACATCGATGAGGCTGGAGCTGGTGTCTGCAGATTTGTAGGGGCTTCTTTGGAGCTGGAAGCAGAGTGGAGACTTGGGTTCCCTCTGTGGGTATTTTGTGTTTCTATCAGTGATGTAGATCTCTTGGGTTGTTCAAACCTTGGCTGTATGTACAATGGTGCTGGTGTACTGGTGGGAACGGGGTCAGGACCAGGACTGGGGCCAGGATCCAGGTTGGGATGTTGTTAGCTTTTGCTTCTGGTGTATTTCTGGGTGTGACATTGTTGACCACATCCAGGTACTCCTAGCAACGTGTCATCAGGCCCCACCCATGGATTACATTGGCAAGTAGGTACAGTCAACGGAGGCAGGATCATGAGCACAGTTTCAGAGTTGAGCTACTCCAATTTTGGCAGAGGCAGCCTGGGAATTTCCATGGTGATGAAAGGTGTGGGCGGCTCCATCACTGATTGTCCTTGTGCGCTCAGTGCAGGTGGTGGGGGGGGGCTCAGCCAGTGGCCACATGACTGCGATGTGGCAGTGGGTGGCCCTGCCACTACGGTGAGGCACCCCAGACAAGCACAGCACCCCCATGGTAATGTCATGGGGCACCCCAGCACCACACAGCACTCCCACAGCACAGGAACTTCTCCATCGCCTGCCCAGGCTTCTCTGGCCACCAGGGTTGTGGCTGCCACTGGGGGCCCACCACTTCCCTGTGCTCCACCACCATGTGGAGGGATTATGCAATCTGGTTCATCGCCACTTGCTGCAGTTTGTCCGCTCACCAGGGCACTGCCAGCCACTTGAGCACCACAGCAGGTAGGGTTGTGGAAAGTGTCTCACTAGAAAATGGTGAGGGCACAAGGGGCACATTTAGGGTGGCGCAGCTGCACAGGGCAGCCATTTTGTCTGGCCATCTCCTCCACAGGCTTGGAAGGGTGCCTAACCCTGCTATCTCCTCCAGCGCCTAGTCCTCACCCTGTGGCTCAGTATTTAACAACTTCATGAAGTTCAAAATAAGTTTTTCAGGGTTTTATAACTTTTATTGCACTTTCATTGCCTCTGGAAGCTGCTTGAATTATAAATTGGACAGTTCATACCCAAGTATTCAAATCTACAGCAGCCTCTTTTGTTGTGTCTTACCCATGGCTCTTAGCCAACATAAGTAAAGTTAACAATGCCTCTTCATCATATTCTACCTCCCATTCTTCTAAGAGAAGCAACTGTGCCTTCAGAACTGGATGTTCCTGCATGGACATCTATCCCCGCCATGGGTCTGGTGGTTGTTTTCTTCTATTTTCTAAGGTAAGTCTAAAAGAATTCTGGATATGAGTGGCTTTTCACTGCAAACAGCTCTGCTCGCTGTATTATGGCAGCTTTTCGCTTCTAGGTCAGGCTCTGCACATGCTGTCCCTTATCTCCCTCTGCTGGACTTGCAGGATGGCTGCTGTCATCACACTGGGGTCACCATATGTCATGTGAGGTCATGGGCTGGAGACAGATTCTCTCTCAGGACTTGAGACATCTTGATCAGAAGACAAAACAGCATGCTTTATTGTTCCAAACCTTCTTATACAGGGGTTTTGAATTTCCTGGGTTTAGGCATCTGATTGGCCTGGGTTTAATACCACCCAGCTCCATGACTAGTGAGATCTCTTTGATCTCATGACTGAGAAGGACTGGTTGTGGTCTCTGTTTAAATCTATCCTATTATTTCTCACCCAGATACTTGTTTATGTAACTGAAAGAGCCAAATAATGTTTCTGTTTATGGCCATATTTATCTGTCTAACTACAGATTTAGCTGTACTAACCGGCTGCTATTAAGTAGTACTTCCATTTCTGCCATTAACACAGTAAATCTGTCTAACACATGAAACCATGTGACAAAAGACAGGTTGCAAATGGGTTTGCAAACATTTGTGTAAGTCTAGCTGTGGCAGCCACCAGTAGAGAGTATATGATATGGATCTCAGTGTCTACATCTGTGATATCTGTCAGCTTTCATTTTAATTTTGAGCCACTGACAATTGTCTGAGACAGCTTATTGTTTCTCTAATTATAGACTTGGAGTAAGAAGTAGTTATAAAAATATTTTGGGACTTGTGTTTGTTTCCTATAAAAGAGCCAGGTGAGGCACTTTCAAAAGGCTGATTTTGAAAAAGACAAGCTCAGACACTTTTAGATGCAGTAAAGCCAAGTGCTGGATCCTGCACTTTGTTAACAACCCCAGACAATGCTACAACCTGGGGGCAGAGTGGCTGGAAAGCTGCCCAACACAAAAGGACATGGGAGTGCTGGTCAACAGCAACTGAAAATGAACCAGTGTGTCCAGGTGGCCAAAATGGCCAATGGTTCCTGGCTTCTATGAGCAATTGTGTGGCCAACAGGACCAGGGCAGTGGTTGTCTCCCTGTACTCAACACTGGTGAGGCCCCACCTCAACTGTGTTTAGTTCTAACCCTTTGCTACAAGAAAGACATTGAGATGCTGGAGCATGTCCAAATAGCAATGGAGATGACAGAAGACCTAAAGAGTAAGTCAGACAAGGAGAAGTGGAGGGAGATGGGGATGTTTAGCCTGGAGAAAAGGAGGCTGAGGGGGGACCTTACCAGGCTTTACGACTCCCCGAAAGGCAGGTGTAGCCAGGTGAGGTAGCCTAGGTTACCAGCAACAGAATGAGAGAACATATCCTCAAGCTGCACCAGAGGATGTTCAGATTTGAGATCAGGAAGAATTTCTTAACTGAAAGCACGGTCAAGCATTGAAATGGGCTGCCCAGGGACATTGTAGAGTCACCATCTCTGGAGACGTCTAAGAAATGACTGGACATGGGACTCATTGCTATAGTTTAGTTGACAAGGTGGTGTGCGATGAAATGTTGGACTCTACGATCTTGGAGGTTTTTTCTAACCTTAATGATTCTATGTATCTTATGGAAAATAAATTCCCTTTATTACTTTTCAAGCTGGACATACAAAACTTTAGGCATCAAAAACTAATGTCCCTTTAAAAATATTCAGACATGTAGTTGATGTTTATCTCAAATGAACACCCCTCTTGTTTGATTTTTGAAAGAGCATTCATGCTCAGACAAGGCAAAAAGTATGAGATAAAATTTTCTTTGTAATGAGTCACTACAATAGGATTTGAGTTTGGATGAGGACCATGAAAGCAACTTAAATTAATATGGTCCTAAGTTAATAGGATAATACTATCAGTAATTTTTACAGGCCTTTCCAACATCTTCAAGCATGAGAGTTTCTATTTAGTAAGGTAATTAAACATCTTAAATTACGCATTTATGTGTTTTGGCATACTTACAAAGAACCTCCCAGAAGCACCATAGCCAGACTTTGTCTATCAACAATTGGTAAATGATTACAATCCCCACAATGTGTGGATTGAGATATTTTATCAGTCTCTTGGAAAGAAATGTACATAGTATGTACACACATAATTGTATATTTTGTATATATATTGTATACAATTGTATTGTGTAGGTATACTTGTATGTGTACTTACCCCTGTCTAAAATTACCATCAAACAAGCAGCACAAGAACAGGTATTTGATGCTGTCAAAGCAAGGAGCAGCATACATACCTACCACACAGGGGGTATTATCAGCCAAGATTTCCTTTGTTAGCCAGTGAATTATACCACCTTTCAGGAACCAAAATCTACTTAGTGAGCCAGGGAACAAATTAACTCATCCTTCTCCAAGCTACCTCGCTGTTTCTCTCTTTCTCTCTCTCTCTCTCATCACTGTGGTTGGAAACAGGAATGAAACATAAACACACAGAGATCATGCAGCAACTGCCAAAGTTTTTTATGGGGCACCCTCTTTTATAGGGGCTTCAAATATCCCACATATATACACATGATTGCTTAAAGATCCTAACTCTAGCTCACTGGCCAATGATATGCATGCATTCCTGGTTCAAAGGGATTGGCTGAGGTCCCCTGTTTGAACTTGAGTCTGACTATCATTATCATGTCCAAGGATTTGTTTACCTCAATTCTCTAACGAGCTAGGCTGGTCGAGTTGGTGTCTGTTAGGCAAAATTATCCGTGCGGCTATAGACCAGCTATAGACCACTCTCTCTCCCTTCTGTTGTCTCTCCTTGGCCACCTATAAGTTTTTAATATCATTAAGATGATCTTTTGTGCTTTCTCCCTTAATGAATACCTTACCACAGCTCCTTATTTTTCCAAAGTCTATAGGAAAAATGTAATATTGGAGAATCCACTGAAGAGGCTCCTGCATGAAATGACAATTTATAACAATCAATTAAATCTTAGGATTAGTGTCAGATGATGCCACTGGATAATGATGCACTATACCAGTGACAAATGATGAGATGTAAGCAATAAAGCTGCTTGGAGTGTAGAACCTACATGTCAGCCATTAAATCATCCATACTCATCCCAAATCACTGAACTTCTTGAAAATACCCACTGAGTAGCTGATATGATTCAGGCTTGTGTAGACTGATTTTTTAAGTTATTCAGCATAAAGGGAACAGAAGAATATTCAAGACTTTATGTTACTTTTTCTGTGTAGGGCTGTAACACCTCCTAGTCCCATGATAAGGTCCAAGATGACCTGCTAATTTGGGATCAGCACTCCTGTTCCTGACTTGGGCTGTGGATAGTCTGCTATGATTCTCCTCAAGGATGACAGGTGTTAATGAAATTATTTATAAATCTCCCCCAGCTTTATGAAGGGGATGCTTCTCAGTGCTTGGGCTGCTATTAAGAGAACAGCTTTTGTGAAGGATGAATGCAAATAAAAGGAACAGATAAAATAGTTGCTAATGAAAAGAGCCCCGTGGTACAATACTGAAAAGGGAAGTATTGAATAAAGTGTTCCTGTCACTCACATGCTAGTTGAGGAGTAACACCATGGGAAAAAAAAAAAACAATAAATAAGATATCTAAGTAATTGTATTTCTTACACTTGTGGTTGCTATGTGCTGGCTGCCATCATGGTAAAGCATGGGTTGATTACAGAATCAAAAATTTTAGTATGTTTGCAGCTCCTCACTAATCATAAATGCTGTCTTTTAGCTCAGCTTCATAACACTTCCTTTTCATTGTGATTACTGCTGTGTTGCATATGCAAGTGCTAGCTGTGAAAGGGCCAATGATAGGTACAAGAGTTGTCCAAAGCAGTCAGAGATACACTAAACATTGATAGAGAGAATTTCATGATTCTCTTTCTCAAAGCTACATTCTGTGGTGCTCCTAGAATGTACATAGAACACTAAATTTGTAACAAATCAGGGAAATTATGGTGGTTGTTTCCAGTCCTTTCAAAGCTACTCTTTATTTTATCCCACACATTGTTTCAGAGATGATGGCCCTGTCCTTCACATGGTTGTTGCCTGCAGCCAGGACCATTTAGCTCTAACAAAGATCCTATTTAATGTGAGAAACACCTAAAGCTTATTACCCATCACTGGCTGCATAAAATTACAGGCTGTCAGTATGTGTTAGATTAATCCATCTGGAGAAGATAAAAGAACGATGAATGAAACTGGGTTCTACATTCCAGACAAACTGTCTTTTAACATAAAAAAAAAAAAGCTGGAAAAGAAGATAAAAAGAGACCAAAGACTTACTCTCTTTCTCTTCATGTAAACTAGGGAAGAGGGCACAGAGCTATTAGATAATGCAGTCAGCTTCCTAACTGTTTCAGAATTATATTTCTGAAGCTGTTTCATTTGAGGTAGATCTTTCTTTCTCAGAGGGTGGTTCCTCTCCTATCATTGACTGCAGTATTCTGAGCTTTCTCTTTTAGCGGGGGGGGGGGGGGGGGGGGGGG